TAAGAATTCCATACCCTCGTGCCAGAGGCAAACAAGAATCACAATATAGTAGGGTGAGTAGCATACAGGCAGTCCCTGGGTTACAAACATCTGACGAACAACTCAGCACTTAAGAACAGAGGCTATTGCTGTGGGGTAGGTAAATGTACCTGTACCAGCTTACATACCAACTCAAGAACAAACTTCTGCAGAGGCTATCTCATTGGTGATCCAGGGACTACCTGCACATCCTGCAGTTTATGAAGTTGTGAATGCTGCAGAGTGAGTAGACTGCCTTGCACTGCATTTATGCCTGTCCCAGTCATGCTGTGGTACCTGCAGGCTGGCTCTGGGCAGCTGTCCAGTCCTCCTGCACTTCAACTTTCTATGTGAGCCAAGAAGCTAGTGATAGGGACTCTGGATTATTTTTAAAACAGGGAAGCAGGTGTCATTTTTTTTTTTTTTATTGAATGGTAACTATGTATGTACATTAATGCACTTCTGGGGTACAGTGTGGTGTTTTCACATACAATTTGAAACATTTCATCAAACTGGTTAACATAGCCTTCATGTCATTTACCTAGTTATTATGCCAAAACGTTCATATTCTACTCTTAGAAAGGTTCACTTGTACCCTTGTAAGATAAACCACAGAAGTGATCTCTCCAATCCCCCTCCCTCCACCCATTACCCCCTCCCCTCTCCCTCCCCCCTCCCTTCCCCCTCCCATATTCTTAGGCTGTTATTAGGTTATAGCTTTCATATAAAAGGCATAAATTAATTTCATAATAGCGGTGTGTACATTGGATACTTTTTCTTCCATTCTTGTGATACTTAGAAGAACATTTTCCAGCTCCATCCATGTGAAAGAAAGTCTCCATCTTTCTTTATGGCTGCATAGTATTCCATGGTGTACATATACCATAGTTTGTTGATCCATTTGGCAGGTTTCATTTTAAAAAGATTACTCTGGGGCTCATCACCTGTCGCTCAGCAGTTAGGCCACTGGCCACATATACCAGGGTTGGTGGGTTCGAACCTGGTCTGGGCCTGCCAAATAGCCGGGTGTTGTGTTGGGTGCCTGTACTCCCAGCTACTTGGGAGGATAAGGCAAGAAAATTGCTTAAACCCAAGAGTTTGAGGTTGCTGTGAGCTATGACACCATGACACTCTACTGAGGATGACATAGTAAGACTCTGTCTCAAAAAAAAAAAAAGGAAAGAAAGATTACTCTGGGACAAAAGAATCTGATCAGAAAAGAAGTGACCCATTTGGACACTGTTGAATTCCAGGTAAGTGATGAGGCCTGGACCAGAAACCTGACAGAAAGGGTCAAATTTGAGATGTTTTCCAAAATGGAATTGATAGGTGGGTACAACTACTTGTATGCAGGGAGGAATAAATGGGAAGAGTCTAGCCTGATTGCAGAATTTTAATGCTGATGGTGTCATTTGCTGGATTTAAAAATGCACACAGAGGGAGGTGGCTGTTGGCACTCTTTAGAGGTGGAGTGTGAGGAAGTGTGTTAGCTCAGTGTTTGGAATCCAAGGATGTCCCTGGGGTGTGTGCTGGAGGCAGATGGGAACTGAGCAGGGAAATGTGGGCTGAAGCCCTGTGTTTGACACTCATCCACTCATTTGGTGGCTCCTAGAAACTGGTCATGGTTAAAATCCCATCACTCAGGGACCATTTGTGGAGAGATGAAGGTGGGCATCTAAACTTAGAACAAAGCCAAGGTCATAAAAGTGATCACCAGTAAAGGATGTGTGAAAAGTCCAGGAAAGGGGACAGAATCCTAGAGAGCATAATAGGGAATGGTTCAGTCAGCATCAAAGTCAAGAGGTCCAAGAAGATGGAAGTTGAACTGTCTACTGGGCTTGGCAACAAGGAGAGGACTGGTGAGAGCAGTTCTGTGGGAACATGGGGTGGGTCCCAGGCCACAGCAGAAGAGGGGTACAGAGGGATTGATAGAAGGGAGCCTTCAACTCCTATAGCCTCCCCATCTCAGCAACAGCCAGTCCAACCTTATAAATTCATTTCCAACCCCTCAGAGCCATCTTTAACCTCATGCTTCACACTCCACCTCTAAAGAATGCAAATTCTGTTGATTCTTGACTTTGAAACTTTCCTAATCTGACCATTATCACTTGGATAGTGTGACAGCCTCCCTGCCTTCAGGGTGGGCTCTGGGCTTTCTTGCTGCTCCAGGTCCTTCAGAGGTTTCCAGTCTCACTTTAGAGCAGCAGCCAGAATCCCCCAGGAGCCTTCACAGTGTGCCCCTCTCCTTCTATTCTGCCCTGGTAACTCCACTCCAAGCTTTATCCTTGAACCTCCAGGCTCTCTCACCTGAAGGCCTTTACACTACTTTTCCCTCTAGACAGGAAGAAGATTCCCCCCATATAGCAACATGGCTTTCTCCCTCCATTCCTTCAGGTCTTCCCCTCCCTGACCTCCTGTCTAAAAGTGGCAGCAGCCGCCCACACCTGGCCCTCCCACTCCTTACCTATTGATTTGTCTTCTCAGTGCACACCATCCCAACTAGGCTATAGCCTGGTTTACTCTGCTTCTGATAGAAGGTCCACTCCATAAGGGGGGCAAGTTTCATCTGTTTCCTTCATTGCTGCTGTATTCCAGCATCTGGGACAGGCTAAAAGCACAGAACAAAAGCTCAGTAAAAAGGCAGGGTGTATGGGGCAGTGCCTGTGGCTCAAAGGAGTAGGGCGCCGGCCCCATATGCCAGATGTGG